TCCTGCACTCACCAAGACACACAATGTGGTGAATAGTATTTCTTTGAAACCAGCTTGATATATTTTATGCATCTGCTCTTTTTTATTTATTTTGAGTTTTAATTAATGAACTATGCAATACCAAAATTATGCAAATTAGCCTACATATTGATACTGATAATCCCCTGGGGAACTCTGCTTTATTTCTTAGTGTTAATTTTAAGACCTTGGGAGGTGTTTATTTCTGTCTTCACGGCTCGTGCGCGCGCTCTCTCTCTGTCTCTGTCTCTCTCTGTCTCTCTCTCTCTTTTTTCTCTCTCTCTGTCTGAGATCTCTCTCCAGGGACCTGGCCACTGTAGCTCATGCGCTTCCTGAAGCACCAAGGAGGGAATGGGGGATTGGGTCAGAGCTATCCTTAACAGTGGCTTCTTGAGCTCTTTTCTCCTGCCCGTTTCCCTCACCTCCCATCTTGACCCCTGCCCCAGTCACCTTCCCAGCCTAGTAGTCCTATTTGTCCTCACAACACAGTACTCTAGTTCACTCGAGTACATCTGCACAAGAGTTTTGTGATGCCACTTTCCTGCTTGGAGGAGAAGCCCCACTTATTGACTTAGATCTATGTGCCAAGAGCAATGACACACTGATTAAATCTTCACACAGCCCTGAGGCAGGCAATACCATCCTCGCTTTACCAAAAAAACTGAGCTGCAGTGAAAGGGTTCAGTTGCCAGTCCTTGAACCAGGTACTGTCCACTCTACACCACTACCTCCAGCTGGTAGAGGGTTTTGAGGGCCAGAAAAACTGCCTTTATTTCCTTTTCTATTTAATACTTTCTCCTCACTTCCTGTTTCTCCTAATTAAAAATGCTTCATCCGATGAAAAAATTTCTAACAGTGCAAAAGGGTGCAAAATGAAAAGTGAAAGTCTCCCTTACTCATCACCTCTGTTGGCATCAATTGTCAAAAGTTTCTTGTCTAAATGACTAAAAGAATGTATGCCTCACACACATATAGCTTCTAAATTTACACAAAGTAATCTCTTTTTAAAAAATTTTATGTTGAAGTATAATTGACACATAATATTATATAAGTTCAGGTGTACAACATAATGATTTCATATTTTATAGGTTGTGAAACGAGTACAGCAAATCCTGTTAACATCCAACACCAGAGTTACAAAACATTTTTTCTTGTGATGGGAACTTATAAGGTCTACTCTTTTAGCAACTTTCAAATATGCAATACAGTATTATTAACTATAATCACCATGCTGTACATTACGTCCCCTTGACTTATTTATTTTATAACTGAAAATGTATATATTTGATCCCCTCTACCTATTTCACCTACCCCTACCTCTGGCAACCATCAATCTGTTTCTGCATCTGTGAGTTGTTTCTTTCTTCTTTCTTTCTTTCCTTCTTTTTCTTTCTCTTTCTTTCTTTCTCTCTCTTTTTAGATTGCAAATGGCACGTGAGATCATATAGTACATGTCTTTCTCCTGACTTATTTTACTTAGCATAATGCCTTCAAGATCCATCCATGTTGTTGCAAATGGCAAAATTTCCTTCTTTTTTATCACATTGTGTGTATATGATATGTGTGTATGTGTGTGTGTGTGTGTGTGTGTGTATTCCTTTTTCTTTATCCATTAATCCATTGATTAACACTTAAGTTGATCCATATAGGTGATATTGTAAATAATGCTGTAATGAACATGAGGGTGCACATATCTTTTCAAGGTAGTATTTTCATTTTCTTCAGATAAATACCCAGAAGTGGAATAGCTGGAACATGTGGTAGTTGTATTTTTAATTTTTTTGAGGAAACTCCATACTGTTTTCCATAGTGGCTGCACTAATTTACATTCTTATCAACAGTGTACAAGGGTTTCCTTTTCTTAACATCCATGCCAACACTTATTTCTTGTCTTTGTGATAATAGCCATTCTAATAAGTATGAGGTGATATGATATCTCATTGCAGTTTTGATTTGCATTGCTCTGATAATCAATGATATTGAGCATCTTTTCAGGTATCTGTTGGCCATCTGTATGTCTTCTTTGGGAAGATATTTATTCAGATCCTCTGCCCATTTCTAAAACTCAGATTGTTTTTTTGCTATTCAGTTGTAAGAATTCTTTATATATTTTGGATATTAATCCCTTATCACATATATAATTTGCAAAATATTATCTTGCATTTGGTAGGTAATCTTTCCATTTTGTTGATGGTTTCTTTTGCTGTGCAGAAGCTTTTTTAGTTTGATATTTTCCACTTATTTACTTTTGCTTTTAATGTTTCAAAAAAAAATCATTGTCAAGACTGATGTCAATGAGCTTACCACCTTTATTTTCTTCTAGGAGTTTTATGGTTTCAGGTCTTAACATTCAAATCTTTAGTCCATTCTCTGTTGATATCTGTGTATGATAGAAGACAGTGGTCCACTTTCATTCTTTTGCATGTGGCTGTCCAGTTTTCCCAGTACCATTTATTGAAGAGACAATCTCTTCAATAAATGATCATTATATATTCATGGCTCCTTTGATCATTATATGTTCTTGGCTCCTTTGTTGTAAATTAACTGACCATATATGTATGAGTTTATTTCTAGGCTATTCTGTTCCATTAATCTATGTGTCTGTTTTTATGCCAAAACCATATTGTTTTGATTACTATAGTTTTGTAATAGAATTTGAAATCAGGAAGTGTGACACCTCCAGCTTTGTTCTTCTTTCTCAAGATTGCTCTGGCTATTTGGGATCTTTGGTGGTTCCATACAAATTTTAGGATTATTTGTCCTATTTCTATGGAAAATGCCATTGGAATTTTGATAGGTTTTACACAAGTCTAGATTGCTTTGGGTAGCATGGACACTTTAATAATATTAACTCTTTCAAGCCATGAGCACAGAATAGTTTTCCATTGACTGTGTCTTCCTCAGTTTCTTTCATTAATATCTGATAGTTTCCAGCATACAGGTCTTTCACCTCCTTGGTTAAATTTATGGCTTTTTTCCCCTCTTAATTATATCTGAGATCTTTTCATATCAGCACATATAAGAGCTTTGAATAGTTTCCCATATCACTCAGAATAAAATACAAAGTCCTTACTTTAGTGGACATAACCTTGAGGCCAAAGCATGACAAAGATACTACAAGAAAAAACATTATAAGCCCACATCACTCATGAATATAGATGCAAAAATCTTAAAATATTAGTAAATCAAATCCAGCAATCTATGAAAAGAAAGTGCATCACGACCAAGTTGGATTCATTCCAGGAGTTTCAATGTTATTTTAACATTCAGAAATCTGTGTAACCTACATATTAATAGATAAAGAAGAAAAAGCATTATGATCATCTCATAGAGAAAACTATTTGATAAAATTCTACACATTTGTAATGGAAATAGGAATAGAAGAGAACTTCCTTAACCTGACAAAGGGATTCTATAAAATCCATGGTGTTAAAAGTCGGTATAGTGGTTATCTCTGCATAAAGGGCAAGCTGTGGGGAGGGGGGGCACATTTGGTAGTAATGATCTATTTCGTGATTTGGTTGCCCATTCGTGGTTACTTTGTGATAATCAAGCTGTGCAGGAATGATTTGGATGCTTTAGAGTACAAGCATTATACTTCATTTAAAAATGTTGTAAAAAGTTTTTCAAGGAAAAAAAATGCAGTCCTTCCTGATTATCTCAGAAGGGTAGAGGGGTTGTGGGAGCTGTCAAGGACAGGAGATGGAGATTGGCGGGATGAGAATGAAGAAAACAGGGTGTACATGTGCTGTACAAAGTTTTCAGTGAAGAGGAGTAACTTGGAGATGAGGTGCAGAGGTGAATACATTACCAGAAGGCGAAAGAAATTAGGGAGTATGGAATTTAATACCTAGATGCCCCTCGCAGAGTGAATTTTTCTAAGATGAGGAGACAACACATTTTACCTATTCTCCTTAATCACTTTTACAGTTGATCTTAATCCCCATAATGGCCCGGGAAAGTAGTTAATATTATTTTGTTTTACTATTGGGGAAACCTAGACTCAGAGCGAGGATGACTGAGCCACAGCCCAGGCCCCAGGACTGCTCAGAAGGCCTGTCTGGATGTGATGCAAAGAGCAGCCACCCTGTTGGCCGCCAGTACAAATCATGGTCCCTCCGTTGATCATCAGTTAACAGTAAAATAGGAATAGTATCTCCTTCCAAGGTTATAATAAGCACTAAATGAGATTTTGTGACATCATAGGCATTCAATACCTTTTTCTCTCCCATGCCAACATATTCATCAAGATCTCTCCAAAGATATGGAGTCCAAAAAAATCCAAGATCATGAAGACAATTATGCAACCACCACTCTACCAAGTGGAGCTAAGGAGAGCCTCATTTTCCCGGTGAGGCTTGTACTGACTAGACATTAATAGAGGAGGGGGCTGGCTTTTCATAATAAGCTTGTCCTAGGCCAGCCGTTCTCAATGTGGTCCAAGGAGGTTCCCAAGAGACTTTCAGGGGGTTCTCGGGGAAAAACTGTTTCCCAACAATGTCAAGCCAGTTATTTGCCGTCTCCTCTCTTATTCTCTTGCTGGCATAGTAGTCAGAGACTAGAGGACATATGACATCACGCAACGGCAAACGACGTGTGCTTGAACGTGTGCTTGACATCTTAGGCTTTAAATGTGTTTCAACTCCTAATACATATATATCTATAGGTATGTGTCAGAATTAGGAAATAAAAATACAGGAGCCAGTTAAATTTGAATTCCAGATAAACACGGATATTGCATGGGATACAATCATATTAAAATATTATTCATTGCTTATCTGAAATTTAAATTTAATTGGACGTCCTGTAACTTCCCCACCATTCCTAAGCCTATAGCCAAAAAGTTTGCAAACCGCTCGGCCAGGAGACAGCAAGCTCAACCGGAGCACGCTCCTGGTAATTCCGGATGCGGCACTTCCGGTCAGGCAGCCGGCCAGCACGGCAGGGCCCCGCCCACCGCCGGAAGCCTCCGCCGGGCCTCCGCCAGGCTTTCCTCCTAGCCCGGGCCCCGCCCCGACCCAGCTCCGGGAGCCTCCGGGTGCCTCCTGCGGCCCGGGGTAGCGTGGGGCGCGGAGGCGGTGGGATCGGCTTCCTGCCTCCAGGGGGCAGCGACCGCGGACCGATCCCTGCGTGACCAGCTTGGCGCCCGCGCCGCTCTCCCTGTCGCTGGACGTGGCGGGCCGACCAGCGGGCGGCCACGGTCGGCGGTCGCCATTCCCGTGTCGCTGCGCCCGCGGGGGCCGCCCGAGTCGGCCACGATGCCACTGGGCCTGAAGCCCACCTGCAGCGTCTGCAAGACCACGTCGTCTTCCATGTGGAAGAAAGGCAGGCAGG